CAGAGAACATGTGGGTCACGTCTAGATTCAGTGTGTCTAGCTTCGACATGCCTACAACCTCATGGGGACCAACAAAACAGTTCTGTTTATTTTCTTCTGTAAGTAAAAATCTCACGTGTTTGACACAACTGTGACCTGTCTGTATTATTACTATTTGGAAGGAAATATCCTGGGTCTATTTATCCATATGACTACCTGAATGTAAAAATCCTATAGTCTTATTCTCGGCTCTTCTTCAATAAAAGCATCATGCCTTAATTTTTACATCAGGAAGTACTTCTTCTAGACTGTCTAAACGCGACACATCCTTTCAGCCTTTTCAGCAAACATGAAAGGTGAAAATAGTATACAAGAAAACGTCAAGGGTTTTCAGCATGCAATTCAGCAAGCTCAACATTCAAAAAACGAAAGTACAAAATGCATTAGTAACCATCTCTACTAAGCATTACTCAAAATGGAAGACACTGAAGTGAGGAAATAAGTTCCTCTTCATCAAAAACTATTGATCACCGCTGATATCAGGAGATCTGCACAACAGAAATCCAACTTCTGGTGTTGGCATGCATACAATCAATGAATATACAGATGATATAGTATATCTGAGAGCTTGGCTTATGTAGTTATTATACTAGAGCAGAAACGAAGGTCACTCACCCTATCCTGGGCTCGCGTGGGAAACTCCAGCGGAGTGGATCTCCAGAAGAGATCCTTCCCCACTGGTAGCCAGCTCTTAAATAGGTCTACGAGAGGTACAGCCAGGCTGCACCCCTTCCAACAGCACAGGTAGATTGCCTTCACTGTGCTCCTGTGGCTGACTCACTTCTCGCCTCAGGCGATCAGAGGTTCAGGCCGATTCAGCAGTCCCCATACAGCATGGTTTGAGGTTAAGTCAGTACAACTTTCCTGAATGAGGGAAAGGCAAGAGCAGCTCTTGAACCCAGTAAGCTGGCAGACCTGGGGGCAGCAAGAGTGCTGAAAGCAGTTTGGCTCACTCAGGTCTATTCAGTCTCTCATCTCAAGTGAAGTCTCCCAAAGAGTTGAGAGCTACAGTGGCTGCTGAGCCAGAATAACACACTAAAGCAGTCCATGGGGCAAGCAGCATCAGGTGTCTGCTGAATGTATCCTGATGAAGCTATGGTAATATTAAAGCCTGTCCATCCTCCCTACAAAGGAGCCACTGATCTGCCCTTCCTTTTGTTGAAAAGCCTTCTGCAGGAACCTATTCCCAGGGAAAATTACTGCAAATTTTTGCTCAGATAGTCTGCTCATCACTGCTGCTTAAATGCTTTATCTCCAAGCCTGACTAAATAAGTAGTTTTACATCAGAAAAGATCTACAGGAAAAGCAGATAGCAGAAGGAAAATACTGCCTAGTTCTCATAAGAAGGAATCCAACTACATATAGAACAGCAGAGAATTATTTTGTAGATCAATCTGCTTGAAGAGGAGCTGGAGAAATCATTGAAATTACTTTTGCAGGTCTTTGAAATCCGTTTTTATTTGCATTTCAAAAGAGCAACAGTTTAACAGAGGTTACTGCAGTTCTCTGCTCCTAACCTGTGGCCACCACAACTGATGACAGCAAATTTCTTGCTATCACATTGCCACCTTCCTGACCTTGCCCCAAACCATAACACTTCTGTTTTGCCAATTAAAATTACCTTGCAAAGGTGAAGTACATTTATAGTTCTGGATTGCTTGCTAGCAAGCTGGTGTGAAGTAGCTCAGTAAAAAAGACACCTCAGTTTCAGGACACTCTTGGTACCTTTGAGCTGTATTATAACACCAAGCAAAGTTCTGAATTTGACTGTGGCACATGCAGGGAAATTCCTGACAGCAAGACCCACAGCACTGTGCTTATTTGCTGGCCTGCATTTCCTAATCCTGCCAAATCTGATGGATCGCTCTGAGCTGCTGCGTCTAGCAGCAAGGAACAGCAGTAACAGTGACAGGGAGCCCTGCCACTCCAATATAAGGGACAGTTCTTGCTATTTTTAATAACTATTTCTTTTAACAGCATCTCTTTCAGACAGCAGCTTTATGAATCAGATAATCTATTGACACATATCAGAGTGCTCAGGGAGGCACAGGCGTGCTGTGAATCCCACAGCAGCTGCATTGCTTAGCATGCTGCATGTAGCTGCCCCAGGTGGTTGTGCTGCTGTAGGTGGGGACACGAAAGTTGTGGCCAGCTGATTAAGTTTAAATCCAAGTCAGTTGATAGATTTAAAGTTTAAAATTTATGCACACTGCATTGCCCAACTGTTCTAGCAATAAAATTTAGTATTTGCTTCAAATCCACTACTCAATGCTCTTAACCTTCAGCATCGTATTTCTTCGGGGGTTTCCAGCAGCTTGACATTCAAAAGGACCTCTGCAGCAGACTGTCTCCTATTGCTCATTTCCCAGTGGCTGTTTAGGTCTAGGTGTCCTCTGGAGCAATTAAACCCCTGTGGGCAGCGCGTGCTGAGTGGCTCACGGACATTATGCAAAGCACTGAGGTGTCTGGCTCAGCTGCTCCCAGGAGGCCAAATTTACCCTCCACAGCTCTACTTTAAAGACACGTGTGCAGATACTGACCTCACAGTAGCGTATTAAGACTTTACACTATAAGGATGCAAAGGATGAAGCTAAGAGACTTGTCTGAGGTTGGAGGACAATATGGGTACATGAGCATCAGCCTGCCAGTCATCTAGCAGCCTACACAGCTCCCAGGGTGCGATGAGACCACTCTTCATGGAAAATCCCTGGCACCCCAGATATTTCCTCCCCACCCCAAAGGCCAGACCCGACAGCTCCAATTTAAAGCTCAGCTCCCCTTTTACAATAAATTCCCATGCAGAAGCCTCAGGAAAGTCCCTTTTCCCCACGCGCCTCACTGACAGCAAGCAACAACACTGCAGCAAGCAGAGGCCATTAAAGAGTTATTACATTTAACTGCTGTGCGACCACTGGCTGCACACAGCAAGTAAACTCTGATACTGAAATAATTCCTGCTAACAGCTCCTTAAAGGAAGCATCAGTATTGCAGTGTCTAGACATTACCAGGCTGCCCTAAATTAGATTGCAAACGCCAGTCAGCACCACAAACTTGTACTGAAGGAGTTAAAACAGTGGCTTTTCATGAAAAAGGCTTCACAACAGTCAGCCTCTAACTGCTCTCAGCACAGCAGTGCTCAAGTTATGTGATGCTGGGGGAATCACCACCAGAAGCGCAGTTTGAAAAAGGGCAGAACAGAAGCTCCACAGCTCTAGTGGCAGACCTAATACCCTGGCCTTAACAAAGGCAAATCCAGCAGCTCATGGCTGCCTTTCAGTTCTTGTGAAATGAGAGCTGCCGCAGTCATCTCCCTATTGCCCCAAAGCCTACCAAGGTATGTTGTACCAGCATAAGGACAGTCCTGGTCCTGGCACTGCTGAGGACAGGCAGAACCCACTAGGGCATTTCCATGCCCAGTGACCTCAGGAGTAGATCCTGGTTCCCCATTCCTCACCTTAAATCTGACATAGGGTTTTCAAAAGAGACAGATTGGCACAAGGACAGCACTGGTGTAAGAACTACTGCTGTGACAAACATCAATAAAGGCAGCAATTGGATCCTGAGACAGAGCAGGTAGCTTCCTTGGTGTTGCCAGCTGTCCCCATGCAGGAGCAGAGCCAGGAGCAGGTCCCCCCAGCAGTATGCATAGCACAAGGACAGTTACTGCAATACTGGCACAGGTTCTGGGTAACATGGCTGTCCACATGCAGTGAGTGGAAATTGGCAATATTTAAGTGTAAGGGAGCAATTTTCCTCCAAGGAATGTGCCTTGTGATGTGATTTGCAAGGCTTTCCTACAGTGGACAGTGAATATATTAAAGACTTCCAACAGCTGTAGAGAATTGATATCCCTAACTCACCAATCCTTTGCTAGTTGCAGGATCAGCTATGGCAGCTGAAGCTTAAAGATGTAGTAAAAATAAAATAAAATAAAATAAAAAAATAGTAATTGATGCTTGGAGAGCATGCCTATAAGTCAGCCCAGAGCCCTTTCACTTGGTTTGGAAGTTCAGCAGGGGGTATAACCACACAGAACCACACTTCAGCACAGACCAAAAGTGTTACCGTAAGGCACTGATATTCTTTCCTCCGCTTGCAGTTTACATGATTTACTTCCCTGTAGTGCAGCACTCTTGAACAGTTGGATCAGTAAGTGAAATCCTACAGTATTTTGACTGCTCCAGTCAGAGACAGACAGCAGCACCTTATTCCCTGGGAATTAGACTGCAAAACATAACCTGCACGTATATTATTCATATGGAGATGAACAAGTATTCAACCTTTTAAAGAAAAGCCATATGAGAATAAACATAAAGGAGGCAATGCAACATATACCAATGATTTACAAACTCATTCCCACAGTCGTGCAACTGCTTTGCAATAGCTCTCAAACAACAGAAGCTCACTGAAATGCCATAGACCTTCCAGGCAGGAAGCAGCCAAGAAGAGGATCATTCTTCCACTCCTCATCTTCCCACTCCAAATCCCCATTCCACTGAGGCCATCTGAGACAAATGAAGAGCACAGAAGCAGTACCAGTACAAGCCCTTACCCCAATTGCTCCTTTCAATACAGCTCAATACTCATAGAACCATAGCATGGCTTGATTGATAGGGACCTCAAGGATCGTCAAGTTCCAACCTCCATTCCACAGGCAGGGTTGCCAGCCACTAAAATCCAGAACTACATCAGGTTGCCCAGGCCCCATCCAACCTAGCCTTGAACACCTCCATTGCATTTTCTCATATCCCTGCCTGCTGTAAACCATAGCAGAGCAGACAGTAACCTCCAACACAGCATATTTACCACATGGTACAGCACATATTCATGCAAAATTCATCTTCAACTGGACAGCGATGGAAAGCTGTGTCCTGTCCCTGCTAATGACAGGCAGGTCTGGTAGACATAAAGGCGCACAAGCAGACTAAAATATATTTTAGAAAGTAAACCAGTGTACTCACAGAGCTGAAGAGCAGCCTGAAGAGATGACTGAAGTGCCTCACCAGAACAAAGAGCAGCTCCCCACACATGGTCCACACCTCATAGGTTGTGCCACACCAGCAACCTCCTCCACCTTCTCCTGGAGGGCATCAGCAGGCAGCATGTTCCTATTGTGTGGAGAGAAAACACCATTAAGTTCTAAACTTTTCAAAGACATTACAATGCCAGAGGTGCTCCTGGAGGTAAGGCAGGGGGAACAAACTCCTTCCCATCAGATACACTTGTGTCACAAAGCATGGGCTAGGAAAGAGACTTCATTTTCTTTATGCAAAACATTTTTAGGTAAGAGCAATTCCTTTGTCCTAGAGTAGTCATCATGATTTATATCACAACTATGATATTTGGAGTCCAAAGCTGGCCTTGCCTTTGCTTTGGCTTGTCCTGAAAAGGGAGAAGGAAGAAGTTCCCTAAACAACTTTGACTACATTCTCTCCACTGGATTTCCGTGCAAACGAGCTCCCATCACCTCAGCAGCTTCCATGCTTCTCCAATTTCCCTCAAGGCGTAGTCATCCAAAAGGCCCTGGGAAAGCTCAGGTATATGAGAAATGAAATGCAGGTGCCAGCACTCAAAGCTGGCAGGGAGCACATCCAACCATCCAGCCTTGCACAGGCTCTCTGAACTCTTCATGCTTTGCAGCAAGTGGCACACTTACACAAGAACCAACATCATGCTCTTTCTTGCCTTAGTTTCCTGCTCTAGATATTCTTCACTGTTTTGATCAGAAACCTGTCAAATTGCAACTTTTTTCCTCTCAGCCCTCCTCTATTTACATCATGATTTTCCTCTAGACGATGAAGAGCCTCCAGAAACAACCATCCTTGGTGCCTCTGCTTTCACATTTAAAAAAAAAAAAAAACCAAAAAACCCTTCCTATGATTTTCTTCGTAAATTAACTTCAGATGCAAAGCTTTCATGTTTTTTCTCCCCCCCCCTCATTATTTTTATTATTTTACTTGAATGACTTGTTCAAACTCTCACAGGCAGAAAAATACTATAGGAGAAACTGGAGCCACATCTGCAGCTACTTCCTCATCCTACAGGGATCAAAGGTATTAAATTACAAACTTTCTAACTGTTCTGTTGCCCTTTGTTGAAGTACAGCAAGAAACAAGACAGGGCAAACTGTTACTAAAAGTTACTTAAAGTTTTAAGAGAAATAACCAGTTTCCTACATTCTCTGGTGCATCAAAACTTTGGTTCTTTGCAGAGAAGTAGGCAGAAGTCAGTAGTACTAATTACCATAGTTTAGGAGATGACAAAAGATTCCTTTTAATATGCATGGACATATATTTAAATAAAAGAACAAGCAGATAATCTTAGAAGTCTTGTCCAACCTATGCTGGGAATGATGATGAAGTTTCTTAAGTGACATTTTGTCATAATCCTACAGCCTGCATCTGGCATTGCAGATGCTACATACAAGAACCTTGCCAAAACACAGCTAACAGTGCAAGTTCTGCAGCAACAACTCTATTTATGGTAAGTGGTCATTTTGGGGAGTGGAATAGGGAGCCTCTACTGTTTTCAGCCTGTTTCTTCAGTAGAAACCAGTTTCTCCAAATAAAGTCTGGAAAAAAAAACCAACCTTACAAGGACTAGCATGTGCAAAAAAACCCTGTTATTTTTTCATTTTTAATAAAATTATTATTTGCTGTGGTAAGATACCCCAAAGCTTTAAGTTAACCTGCACTGGGGAACAGTGTGTGTTCAACTGATCACAAGCAGAAGAACTCCCATATAGAATGGGCAGTAAGAGGAAGAATTGATGTGGTTTACCTCTCACAAGGTTTGTTTAGAAAAAAAGCAGAGATATATTACAAATGTACAACATTAGAAATGTATGTATGTTAGAATGTCCTAGAATAGAAATAGAATTCAACAGAGGGGAATTTATAGGTGAAAGCACAGGTACCTTATGGAATAGCACATTAGAGCAGCTGGTGCTATGGCTTCCCCATAGGCACCCAGTAGGAATCTGGAAATACTTCAGTGACTGCTCTAGGTGTTTGCTGAATAGTAACCAAATCACTGTTCTCTGTAGGAAAATTGTCCTGGTTAAGTAAGAGTTATCTGTTTACTGCTGCTTATATATAAACCCTAGCTTCTTTCAGGTTAGAACAGGCATGTATGACCCACAGGCCTCATGCAGAGATGTGTCCCAGCCCTGAAGCAGTATGAAGGTACCCAAATTCAAAAAGCCCTAAGCAGCACCAGTTGCACCAGTCAGCATAACTGCTGCCTCTGAAAAGGGTGCACTGGGTGCCAAGGACCTGCCCTCCTGTCTTTACCCTGCTACCTGCAGTGTTGTTCCAGAGGATGTGCAGGGAAAGAGGGAAGACACCCCTGAACAAAATAATGCAACAGAGGCAGCTAATGTCCCAACAATCACATCTGGAGTGAGGTAAAGGCCAAGTCTTCAGCTTCTGCTATTCCTGAGAGGCACCATGTTCCCAGTCACACTGTGCTGCCCAATAGTAATGCCTCTCTCACAGCTGCAGCATCTCTGGAAGAGGCAAAAACAGCATCTCCCTCACCATCGGCATGCAAAGGAGGAGAAACAGCAGCTACTACCATAACTGAATCCTCCAGACCAGCAATGGACAAACCCCTGATAATTCAAGATGGCACCAAGACTAACAAGGAGAACAATTGTATCTCTCTTGTATCCTATCAATCCAGACTGTTTCTTCCTGGGACAATGAAAGTTAAGATATTATTCAGTTTTCTTTCCCTTGGCAGTTGCCATAGCCACTACTTTGAGCAACCAGTTATATTTATCCACTTCCTGAATGATGGTGTACCCACAGCTAAATATTATAATTTCAAAGGAAATGCTTCTATTCATTCATAACCATTAATCTAATCTCATTCTCCATCCCCTTTCCAGGTAAATCTTCCTTCCTTCCAGGAAAGTGAGGACAATCAGAAACAACGGCACTTCTTATAGCTCTACCTGTACCAAAGGTGTAGCAGGTTTACTTACTCACAAGCTTGGTGGGTGTGTGTGAAACATAGGAAATAGATTTTTCAAGTCCACTAATACTCCTGATGTTAAGAGAGAAAGGAATATGAGCCTACATTATAAAATGTAATAAAAAAATTGCAACTTCATTTCACTACTTGAAAAAAATTCTCCTCAGAATAGCAGTTCTTGCAAAGTTGTTCCTTAAGCGAGTCCCTGTTGTTGAGCAGCAGTTCTCTGCTGAAAAAGGACAGGAATCTCACTTTAATCAGCGAGTGTATTTACAGAGAAATTACATTTTTACTCTTGAATTTTGATATTCACAGAATCATAGAATGGCTTGGGTTGGAAGGGACCCCAGGCATCATCAAATTTCAACCCCCTTGCTGCATGCAGGGCCACCAACCTCCGCATAATTGTTAGTAATACTGTTCCTCTCCATATCTTCCTGGTAAAAAACAAAATCAAAACAAAAAAATCCCCAAAACAACAGCCTTGCAAGCAAAAAATAAAACCAATATCCCTTAATAAATAATGCTTTGGAGGAAAAGGGGGAAGGGAAGTAGACCGAGTGCAACAATAAATACAAGATTGTTCCAGACCTCTCAGCTTAAGATTGTACAGCATTCATGGAAAGCATCTTTTCAGAATACCGAACTCCACATCTTCATCAGAAATGAAACATCTCCAAATAATTAAGAGTCATCATCAACTCTACAGTGCCTATCTTTTATTATGAATGATAAGCTATTTTTCTATGCAATGGAGGGAAAGATTTCAGTAAATACTTTAGTATAGCAGACTCATGTTTGCTACTTGGTAGTAGGGCTGTTAAACAATTACAGATGTTAATTCCTTGGCAACTCAACACTGCTTCCCTCTGAGTAGCTGTGAGAATTACTGACACAGCCTAGAAACCTTACAGCTCTCTACAATTCCCTGAAAGGAGGTTGTGGTGAGGTGGGGGTTAGCCTCTTCTCCTACATAACTAGCATTAAAATGAGAGGAAAGGGCCTCAAGTTGTGCCAGGAGATGTTCAGGTTGGATATTAGGAAAAACTTCTCCTCTGAAAGAGCAATCGGGCTCTGCAACAGGCTGCCCATGAAGGTGGTGGAGCTACCATCCCTGGAGGCATTCAAGAAACATTTAGACGTCTATTGCAGGACATGGTTTAGTGGGGGAAATATTGCTGGTGGTTGGACTGGATGACCTTGGAGGTGTTTTCCCACCTTAGTAAATGTAATAATCACAGAATCACTAAAAAGAGAAATGTTTTCCTGACAGCTGAAACTCTAAGATACTCTAACTTGGGGGAAAAACATCTTTACAAAAGTATCACCCACAGCAATGACTAACTCCTGTTGAAAACATGGGATTGCCAAACTCAGAGGGAAAATGAAGAGGAGAAAAAAACAAAAAACAAAAAACAGAAGATAAAGGGCCCCCCTTATTTTTTTTTTTTTTTTTAAAAAAAAAAAAAAAACAACTTGGAAAAGTTAAGGAAATTGCTAAGTTGCTTTGACAGGGATAAACAGGATTGCAAGATGACTTTGCAGGCCACTACACAGAAAACTGATTTCCCTCCCACTCTCACCAAGTTGCCTGAATGTTGGACTTATTCCAGTGACAGCAGAGGTGTTTATAATGTACTGTAAATCAGCCTCATGCAGTCTTATGTCAAGAAGGATGCTTATAGTTATTTGTGAGATATGCAGTTGATAATTTCTTGGAAAAGAAACTATTGTATTTTTTCTATTTATGAAAGGTGATTTCTTCTAAGAGCTTTGCAGCTTATGTATATACATAGATTCTTTTTTGAGGAAATGGGATAGCTTTCTGTAATGGCATTTTAATAAGAAGAAATGCAATCAACTGTCAGGGTATATAGTGAGCTGTGTTCTCTCTCAAGAGATACGGTGGTATCTAAAACTATTTGTGCCTGGAAAATAGAGCTACTTCACTTTTACCATTAGATCGCCAGATCAGATGAGGAAGTTTAAGCCTTTTCAAACAAATTACCACAAAAACAGTTTAATGCTTAATTTAAAAAGTCACTAATCCTGACACTGGTTATTTCTGAGGGTGCTACTAATGCGTTAGCAGTAATACGTAGTCATAACTCATGACTCACAATTCACATGC